TGCCACATTTATGTCATGACTTAACTAACAATGGAATAAAATACTCACGTTACTAAAAATGTCAGACTGGACTTTTCTTTAAGATCTGAAAAGCCAAAGAAGCTCTAAAACTAAAATACAGCCCTATATTTGCACCTCTACAGTCCCTCTGCTGCAGCAATGTTTTCTTAGACTGCCATAGCGCATTAACTTAAAATAAAGGTATATTATGCTATGTATCTTTTAGTTACTCTACGAGATTTTGAAATTACAAGTGTGAACCATTCAGCAAAAGACAAATAAGTGAACAGGTCAAATAATAATACAGTAAACAAAGAAATCACAACTCTCAACTAAGCTTTCATCCTGATTCAAAACACTAGATAAACTCTGCATACCATTTCAACATAAATAAAACAGGCCACATTAAAGAGATCTCAGCACTTTAACACTCTAAAGGCTTGTTTTGCTCCTTTTCTCTATAAACAGTCATTACGGCATCTCTCTAATTGGGACTGGAATACCAGAAATTTTGCAAAGCCAAATCAGAAGAACAGTATTCTTCCAGTCAAATCCCACAGCACTTTCTGCAACCATCCAGGTTGTTCCCCAGTCTAACTTCCTGCTCTCGGTAGCATCAAGACCATTCAGACCAGATTGTCTATGGCTTAGACAAATCAGGTCTTGGAAACTTCCAAGGATGGTGATTGAATAGTCTACTGAACCAGCCTAGCCAAATGCTTGACTGTCCTCATGGAGAAGGCAACAATTCTTCATGTTCCTGGACCAGTCTTCACCACTTTATCTGTTCTTGTGGCAACATAATAAGACAAATGGGAGACATAAAACGAGGTGGTGATGTTTACAGAGACCCACCTAGAGCCAAACCATTGACTCTCAAAGGGCAGATGGTGTTTGTAGGTACTGTGCACTGAGACTGACTACAAGTGAAAGGTATAAGTGAATGTCTCAAAATCATCCTGGCTTACATGTTTTTCAACATTGGGCACTACAAGTGTAGATGTAGTCAGAAGGCTCAGAGTAACATAATCATCTGTCTGATCACAGAGATCACTCACTGAGTTCTGATGCTACACTGACTTTCAGCTTTTTTATTTATTGCTCACTTACAAAGAAGAGATCCATTGGAGCTGAAAGGAACCTAATGAAATTCAACAAGGACAAGCGCAAAGTTATGGCCCTGGATCACTTTGTCTGACCCTACCTGGAGCAGGAGATTGGACTATGTGACCTCCTAGGTACCCTCAGACCTGAATTATTCAATAATTCTATGACTTCATTGGTTGCAAAACTAAAGAACTCTTTAGTTAGCCTCTTTCAAATAAATCTAATAAAACAGAGAAATCCTGATTTCCTTTGCTGGATTTCATAAGAAAACAAATGTTATCACCAAATTTTGGGGAGGCTGAGAGGACAAAACAAGAATATTTTTGACCCTTTATACTGCAGGTTGTTGAGTTAAAGCCAGAAATTTTAAAACATTCCCTCTCAGAGAAATGTAAATTTAAAGAATTCTATACCTGTCACATGGCTTCTATTAGAAATTATGCTAATGCACTATACTTTAAGTGTACAGCTAGTGTCTTCAAAGTTTATGTACAGTTTTAGTCTAAATACTGTTTATCCTACCTTAGATAGTTTTGCAAACTGGGATCATTAACTCCTTCTTTGCCATATCATTAGTAGGTTATCAGATTAAAAGAACTGACATTCCTAAGTTAATATGCATTTTGCAGCTCTGCATATTTATTATTTTTCTATATTTAAGTATATATTCTCTAACCTTTTTATTATTTTCAGTCCTAATTTCTGAATATTAATAATTAATTTTAACTGCAGCATAAGGACAGAAAGCCTGACTAGGTCTTTTTACTATTACTCTTCCAGAAGTCTTAAATTCTCTTGCAGCAATGGTAAGAAGGATTGCTGCATAAAAAGGCTCCAAAGGCTAATCAAGCAGTATGAAATCAATCCAATTACACATCTGGGAAAAGGAAAGAGCCCCCTCCCTCTGTAGCCTCATGAGCTGTCCTGCTGCCTTTCCTCTTTTGAGGTCAGGAAATTAATGCAGACATACATCCCATCTTCAACTTTCTTTCTTTATGTCCGAAATTAGCATCCAGAAATGGCATCATGATTTCTGCTAGAAATAACAGGTTAATAATATTCATGTATCAGATAACTTGGAGTTCTGTGCTCTGGTGGAAGACTAAAAGAAGTAGAGAGCTGCTTTGCTTGCTTTCGTAATACTTAATAAGAAACATGAGAGCAATCTGCAAGTACCTCCAGGGTACAAACAATAGAGGAGTAATTTATTGAGGTGAACATGGGGAACATGTAAAGATAATAAGTAAAAAGAAAATACCTATAAAATATGGGAAAAACTTCTACATAGCAGGCTGTGTCTGCCCATAGAACATTTCTACCCGGTAAATTCCCCATTGCTTGCAACACAATCCCTGTTTTTAAAAAATAAAATATTTTTTTAAAAAATAATCTTTTTGAGCTAAGGAGGAGAAAATTCCTTATCTGGAAAAGGTATGGGTAGCAGGTGGCCTGAATGATCTTTTTCTGAGTCTAACCTCTCATAGTATTACGAGTCATGTTACACCCAAGCCACAGGGTAACATACATAACATGAACAGATACACTAATGTGACATTCCCATTTGGTAATAACAGCTAAATCAATTAAGACTGACAATAAGTATCACAGAGTAACATATTTGCAATCAAGTATCCTCTTACACTGCTGGCTGCAGTTGGAAAGAAGTGAAATCATCTTGCACTTGCATTCCAGCCTGAATCTCTAGAACTCTGCAAATACTGGGAAAGCGATAAAGAGTTCTTCCTCTTCAACTAGTTTGTATCACAGCCATATGGCCGGACGGGTAACATCTCAATTATCCTTGATAAATATGAAACTGAAGCACTTAGTAAGAAAACTGAATTTAACTCCTGCTGCAAACATGGAAAAATCTCTTTTGGAAGTTTTCCTACAGTGTAGACCAAAATAGTAACTATAAAATGTACAGAAGTAGTAAGCATGTGACAAAAGCACTTTATTTAACCATGTTATAGCAAAAATATCTTTACATCCTCTGCTCAGTTTAATCCATCACAATCTACAACAATCCCAGCTGTATAATCCAATACTTATCCTACACATTTGTCAGAGTTTATGTACTGAGAACACTAGGAAGAAAGGATTTATTAACAGCCTCTCAAACAACGTTTATAGGGATTACGGTTCTTCAGCCCCCCAATAAAAACCTTACATTTTTGTTGTTATTTCCTCAGCTTAAAAGTTCAAATACAAAATTTCTAATATTAGGAAAACACCATATTTTTAAAAACACAGAATCCCTTACTTGGCAGCTAAGACCTGCTTGATTTGAGCTTCTCTGTAACCAGTGTCTCTGCTTCCTGCTACTTCACAGTGACTAAATAAACAACAAAATATTTTTAGTGTCTCAGTGGGGTAACAAACTGCATTAAATATGATAAAGGAATGGGATCTTAGACAGCCATACATATAATCATAACTAAAACATAAAATGAAGCAGAAGTATTCAACAAGACAAACTCTGTAGTTTCCTCACCTGCATAGATAAGGAGGCCTGGGGAAGACATAACCCAGGCTACAAACACTACTAACACACTCCCTCCCAGGAGCTTCTTAGGGGAGAGAAAGGAGTTTATAATATGGCTCATGTTTTACATGATTGCATGGAAGCAATATTAAGCATCAACATTCAGTGTGGAGAGTTCAAAGTTGCAGTTTTGTACATATGAATTTTTGTCTCTGAAAACACAGGCAGGGAATTCCACACCATGGGAGGGCAAGAGAGGACTGTAATCTGTAGGATTCACTGGAGCCCCTGGTTATGAAAGTACTACAAGCTTTTTACACTCAATTTGTATTTGCAACAAGAACTTTCCTAGTATGTAGTGAAAAAAATTCAGAGATTTGGTCAAAGATCTGGATATAGACTAGACAATAAATATCCTAACCCCCCCACTGCGGGTGGCTTACCACCATGCCTTCGAAAAAAAACAATTTTAGAGGTAAATCTTGATCGGTGATCTGAATTGCTGGACAAGAACATTTGAAACAACCTAAGAAGAACAGCTACAAGAAGGTATGAAAGTTCCATAGCTCCAGATTACCACAGTTGCATGAGCATGCTATAGCATTCAGAAAATCTGCACAAGTAGAAGTTTAATAATTTCCATTTAGAAGATAACAAGAACTCATCTATACTGGTGACCTGTCTCCACTTTGGAGACAGTCTACAAAACTGGATAGAATTTTGTAACTATTTCCTTTCTCAAATCAACATCACTGCTAAAGTCTTAGAACACCGTGATAAAGAAATATGATTATTTTATCATCAACTTGTGGTAATCGCCATAGCTGGTCTCATTCTGAAAAGCTTGGTATCTATCACCATTCTGCTCATATCACATCTAGCAGTTTGCCCCCGATCTACAATATTCAGAGCAAGTAATACATTCCAGCTAATAGTTGCTGCTAACAATGCCATGTGTAACTAACTTGATTTAATTTAAATACCTATCACATCAGACCTGGGTGTGCTGCCTGCAGAGAGGTTTAGAAACATCATCTTGCCTGCAATGTGCACAGCAATTAGTTATTCCACCATCACTATCATTTCCATGCTGAAGCTTAAGCTGCAACCCACTATGGTTCTTCCATGAGGCACCTCTTTAAAAAAGCCTCAATACCACACCAGGAAAAACACTGTTTCACAGTCTACTGAAAGACCAGTCGTTCCTGTGCTGAGCGTTTCCCAGGAGTCTTGCTGCATGAATCAGGACTGCCGTAGTACTGCTGCCTTTCAGCCTTGTTTGGCAGAGCAGAGACGGGATTTCCCCTTCAGCTGGGATGAAACAGCTCTTTTTTTTTTTCAAGTTAGAAATAGGACTGCAGCTAAGGAAAGCTCATAAAGATTTTTGTGGCATGCACTACACACATACCTCCTGGACAGTGCCTCATGGCCATTTTACACCGTCTGGATTCCGCAATGGTTGGGCACGGTATCGTGTCTTTCGCTGGCTTCTTCACAATTTGTCTGGTTCTCGTTTCCAGGCCCCACTTAAATCCACAGGTCTTGTTATTTCTGCTGCAAGTTCCCCACTCACTCCACTGACCCACTTCACAGCCTTCTGATACAGCAAAAGAAAAAAACAAGTCAGCAATTCTGCTGGTCTCAATTTCTTTTTATCTTTGTTTTATTAATAAAAATACACTATTAGAAAGCACCACTTAAAAGCTTCAATGTCAACAGGCAAAAATTTGGAAACAAAGTATTTTATAGAACCTGAACGTATCTTTTAAGCCTGCATCAACTTGAGCATAAAATGGCCGTATTATCAATCTGCCTGTATAGACATCACGTCAGCCTCAATTGTTCAAAAACTCACCTAAAATCCTGGGATTGATTTAGATTTTTCTATTTTTAATAAATTAATCCTATCTGGCTGTCACTTGGGTTTACAAAGCTCAAAAGTTCACAGTTTCAGGTCCTCCCTGTTATGAAATGTAAGGAATATTCTTGAAAGAGTACGTTCTGACAAAATTCTCAGACTTCAAGATTGTTCAAGATTGACGTAAAATTGTGAGTCTCAAGAAAGCTTGTGAGAACTGACAATGCTGGCTCAGTTACACATTTCTTTTAAACCCCACTTATTTGGTGGTTTATATTTCTTACTTGCTAAATGTTAGAGGAATTTAATCTGCCAGCCCCTGGTCCTGGCCTTGGTAAAAGGCAAAATGAGTGGGTAGTTTTATAGGGGTGAGGATCCAATGAGTTCATCCTTGACTTAAAGTTCTAATGCAAAGAGTGGCCTTCCTGAAATCTTACAAATTCTCAGTTATAAATCGCTATACAAGGTGACTTCCAGTTAAGAGGACAGAACATGCTTAGGCAGAACAAGAGTAGCATTCCCAATAATGTAGTATCCTAAACTTTGAAAACTGGTAAAGAGATCCAGACACAATCCATTAGTGAGTATTTCTTGACATAAAATGCTAAACATCAACTTAAAATTAAAATTGAACCCTACTACCTGCTTCAGCAGAACTGTGGTGCTACAAGACTCACCCACACATTCCATAAGCTCTTCCAAGGCTGCAAATCCAGGGGGGCATCCTCGGAAGCAGCGGCCTCTGTGCGAGTAGAAGCCACTTTTGCACTTGGTACAGAAGTCTCTGCTAAAGCAGGAGTCACAGTTTTCTATTCTGCATCCTGAATGAAAAAAGATCATAAGGAACAATGAGACAGCTAAGTTAGAGTGAGACTAATAATTAAAGGATTTCTAAATCAAACACAGAAGTGCTAAAATCAGGAGTATTGTCATCCTAAAATCTATCTGCCCTATAAGAAAAACTGAAGTTAACCATAATTAAATACCACATTTGGTACAACTGCGAACACAATTACAGGTTCAGCTGAGAACGGATTGAGAACAGCCCTAAGTAGAAGAATTTGGGGCTGTTGGTTCATGAAATGCTCAAGATGAGCCAGCAATGTGCACTTGCAGCCCAGAAAGCCAACTGTGTCTTGGGCTGTATCAAAAGAAGCATGGCCAGCAGGTCAAGGAAGGTGATTCTGCCCCTCTGCCCTGGTGAGAACCCACATGGAGCACTGTTTTCAGTCTGGAGTCCCCAACACAAGAAGGACATGGAGCCATTGCAGCAAGTCCAGAGGAGGGCTGCAAAGATGATCAGAGGGCTGGAGCACCTCTCCTATTAAGACAGGCTGAGACAATTGGAGCTGTTCAGCCTTGGGAAGAGGAGGCTCCAGGGAGACCTTACAGCACCTTCCAGTACCTGAAGGGGCTACGGGAAAGCTGGGGAGGGACTTTTCAGTAGAGAGGGTAGTGATAGGACAAGGGATAAAGGTTTTAAACTGTAAGACAGTAGATTCAGGTTAGACATCAGGAACAAATTCTTCACCATGAGGGTGGTGAGACTCTGGAACAGGTTGCCCAGGGAAGCTGTGCATGTCCCCTCCCTGGAAGTGTTCAAGGCCTTTGCAGGGGCATTGGAAGTAGATGATCTTTTAGGTCCCTCCGGAACCAAACCATTGTATCATTCTATGATTTTCTCTTCATCCTTTCAATCCTACTATTTTGAACCAAAAGTGTAGATAAAACCTCTAGTTAAATTACATTTGAGTTAATTGCACCTTTTTGGAGAAAAAAGGTTCAACATAAATTATTCATGTGTTAAGTAATTTTGAGGAAAGTAAGATGTGACAGAATATTTTGGGAGGCTTGCATGTATTATACGTACTGTATTCAGTTTGTTATTTGTCATTGCAAGCAGGATACATTTTTTTTCCCATGAGATGACCCTATAAATACCTGAATGAGCTTTTATGTGTTATGTCTGATTACCACATCTATACAGATGCAGGTGTTACCATGCAAAAACCCTCAGTTTTTCTGGATATAACTCCTCTTAACTATGAATTAAATCAGTCCTGAAAAAACAACTATTAAATGACTATAAGTCATTATTAGTATGAAAAAATACCCCAAACAAACAAAAAAAATCCAAAATATTGCCTTTTGAAATATTTAATTTCTCTGAAAATTTAAGAGAATTATAGATTACAGCCTCAGAAGCAGATTGTTCAGAAACATCCTATGCCATACTAAAGCATGGCATCTTGGAGATGAACTAGATATCAGCAATTATATGTACACCTGAAAAGCTGAAATACTTACATGGAGGCTTAAGAAAGTCATTCAAATATACCTATAGAAATGCCAGGGGAAAATGTTACAAAGATTAAAAAGTTAAAGCCATTATATATGGAACAGTAATAACTCTTTTAAATTAATTTAAATAATCTAGTCTTTCAGCTAACATACATAATTCACGTAAAGTTTATTAATTGTATCCTGTCTTCAGCTGTCTGAAGTCACAGCAGAAAGTATCTCTTGTTCATTGCAGGTGAAAACATAGTAATCTTTTTGGTAACTTATGTTATTAATTTATTCTTCATTGTTTTATAAAGAAAAAAAAAAATCACTAACTGTAAGAACATCTGAAATAGTTACTGGTAAATATCACAGAATGACTTAGCTTGGAAAATACCTTCAAGATCATCAAATCCAACCATTAACCTACTCTACCAAGTCCAGCACTTGTTGTTATCCCCTAACAACACTTCAAATTTAGACAATCTTTAAAAAAACTATTTTAATATTTATTTTTTTAACTTCAGCAGGCCAAAACAGGGCACACCAAAACACTTAACACTGGGTGGTAGTGGGAAATTATTCTTTGTTAGCAATCAGGGAAATAAAGGCTTTTTAGATCAGGTTTCTTGTGGCTTTGGACAATAAATTAGACAGATTGCATGAAAAGGAAAAAAAATATTTCAAATGCTGGTACAATTTCTTTGGTTAGAAGGAATGTGAACATCAGTTTAAGTCTTGTACTGCCAAAGGGAAGCTCTGCAGGCTGTTTAGAAACAACCCCACGCAACCTGCACAACCCAAACTCTGGTATCCAGCATCTCTAAAGGGGCCTCTAGAACTTGCATTCATATAAGCAGCACAAGTTGGGCTTCTTATCCACAGAGTAGTTTATAGGAAATTTCCAAGAATGATAATTTCTTTCTCACCAGTCTCCAAAGACCAGTATATCAATGTCCATACAATGACCCTGCAAAATCACTTCCCCAGATCAATGCGTTTAAAGGTAAAAGTAAGTTGAGCTGCTCTGGAGATGTGCTGCAAAAGCTGATTGCAAATCTGGTTTGTTACACTCAAGATGTACTGCAAGCATTTTATTAATTGCAATGTTTTAATCAAACATCCAGTGTGTTTAGTCAGAAAAAACATTTGCCTCTTGCCCACGCAGCCATGCACAGTTTGAAAAAAAATCATGTTTTTTCCCAATTATTATTATCAGGTAAAGAACAAACTATTCAAAGAAAAAATAGCATCATGTGATTCTCCCTCACATCCAAGTGACACAAGCATATAATTGAAATAATATTTTAACTACTGATTTCAAAACATGCTGGGGAGTAAATGTTTACAGTTTACTCCATCTGAACTTTTTTGGGTGAAAGAGGAATTACATGAAAAACTTTTAGTGTAAGTTGCCTTTTGATATCATATAAATACACTTGGCAGGCAGAAGCCTGCCTCACCTTACACTAGGGAAATCGTCCACAAAGCTATCTCTACATAACAGTACATATGGAAATTCCCCACATTTAGAAAATGAACTGACCTTCTTTCTATATCTTGACCATACTTCAAAATTACCATCCTATTCATATCTTTTGCTTTTCCTTCTATTCCAGTTTTCTTCTGTATCACAGTAGAGTCCTTGCCATGGTAATTATATTTTGGAAGGATTAGTGGGAGCTCCTGGCTTATGGCTGGCTGACTATTTCCACCAAGGTAGTTTCTTTTCATTTTTTTCCTACAAAGGTAAATTACTCTAGATATGAAATGTCTATTATTTAATCTGTTTCAGATGTAATTTAGGAAAAAATACTGAAAGAATATTAGGAAAGCTTTCAGAATTCTGAAATTAAGAGGGATGCCCAGCACAATGTTTGGGATTACTAGGTGCAATGATAACAATAATTTAACTCAGTAATAGACCACATTGTAGCTGAAAATCAACTAGAATTGACAGCTGCTCCTTTTTGACATCCTCAGTACACTCTGTTTCAAATTATGCAGGGTGCTGGTGCAGCTCTAAGTCCTGCAAGGTTTTTAAAATAAAATGTAAATAAACTAAAGAAAAGTAGTATTCAAAAAATTAGAAACACTAACTTTCTAAAATTCTATTTCCAAGTACAAAGTCTCATGGCAGGGGTATAATATAGGGACATTTTTAAAGAGGTGGGAGTTTTTTGGTGCCTAGTTTCATTTTATTATGTTGTTTAAATGCTTTGGGGGCCATTTTTATTTTTTTTAATAAAATGCAATTAATAAATTATTTAACTGTAACTGAGGTTAGTAAGCTCAAATAAATTAATTACTCAAATTCATGTGCTTTTACAGCTAAATATAGGAATATGGAAAGAGGAAGAGAGTGTAGACATTTTTAGTTGGACTCTTAAAGAGTGCTGATACTCCATTATGAATATTCATAGAATCATAGAGTGCCAGGCTGGAAAGGACCTCAATGATCATCTGGTCCAACCTTTCTAGGATAGAAATAAACCTTTTTAAGATATATTGGTTGGCATTAAATACAGCTGTGCCAAACGTGTGTTTCTTATTGTTAATCAGCTTCACTACATACGTATACTTTGTTAAATATATATTTTAATGGAAGTATATTGCAGAATTTTAATTTTGAATTTGTTTTGCATTCTATTTTTGTTGAATTAGAAATTAATAATCTACTATGAAACCTACAGAAAAGCTTTTTGACGTTGTATACTATAATTAAGAAAAACAGTATTTTGAAAAATAGTTTTAGCCTTAGCACATAATAATAAACTGAGGAAATATATTTCTAAGCTACTGACATGATCTGTTTTCTTCTGATTGCCACAGTTTTTAACCCTTCACAATTTCTGATCTCAGCATCTTATGCCAAACTCTGGAGAAGGAAAGTAAAACTTTCGCACTTTTCAAAACCCTTTCTTAATCCTTTTAGATTTCCTTTAAATTAACTAGTTAGCTTACTGATACAATTATAATAAACTGAAGCAAGTGAGTTTGCTTTTTTTTTTTACTCTGGTGGAAGTTCTTGTCCAAGTAACTTCATTGTTTCATTTTACTAGCTACAGATTCAATTGCTCTCCTCACCAGTTCAGTAGTTTCATTTTCTGTATAATTTTGGTAGCTAAACCATGTATTCATTTTATTTCACTTCAAAGATTACCTATAAGTTTACAATACCAAAAAACCCCAAAGGACACAAGACCAAAACACCTAAGCATAGCTAAGGTTTTAGACTCAAGGAGCTCTTTAGAGGAAAGAAATAGATATTTGCATAACTTACAGTATTCTTCAGAAATGTTTTGATTTCTCCAATCAAATGTTGCCCATTAGAGGTTTCCAGATAGACAAGGGTAACTGCCTGGTAGATTCTAGAAGCAGGAAGGAAAGGGAGCCTGGAAGTGAAAGCTTTGGAGGCACATCAGAAGATATCAGTGTTGAGGGGAGAAAGAGTTGATAAATTCAGTCACGCCAAAGAACCCCCAAGAAAAACCACATACCTTTGGCAGGCCTACCACACTTGCAGGGCAACAATGAC